CCGTGCGCGTCCTGACCGTCACGTACTCGCTGCTGAAGCGGCTCAAGGAGCGCTCGCTGGACACGCTGCTGGAGGCGGTGGAGTCCCGCGGCGGCGTGCCGGGCGGCTGCGTGCTGGTGCCGCGCGCCGACCTCCGCCTGGGCGGCCAGCCCGCGCCGCCGCAGCTGCTGCTCGGCCGCCTCTTCCGCTGGCCAGACCTGCAGCACGCCGTGGAGCTGAAGCCCTTGTGCGGCTGCCACAGCTTCGCCGCCGCCGCCGACGGCCCCACCGTGTGCTGCAACCCCTACCACTTCAGCCGGCTCTGCGGACCAGGTGAGCGCGCCGCGCCGGCCTGGGGGCACCGGTCCCCCTCCCCGCCCCCTAACGTGGCCTTCCCTCGATCCGATCCGTGAGACATCGGGCGGGCACGCGCGGCTGTGGGTGCTCCCCCGGGTGTCCCTGGAGCGTGGGAACCGCCGGGGGAGGCGTCTCACCCCGGCCGAGGGGAGTGGGTGTCCGAGCATACACATCAAATGGCAACTTCACCTTAAGGCTCCGGGAGAACTTCAAAGGGTACACGTCGGAGTTTTCTCTGTGCAGCTTCAGGGACGTACTGTAGGCTCCAACTTGACAAACAGTGGAAGAGGAGGGCAGGCCAAGGAGAAGCCAAAGAAATAAGTGCCATTCCCACCCTCACCCCCTCACCCCCCAGTTTGGGAATTTACCCCCAGTCTGTGCCTAGGCTTCTAGTATTTGTATGCATAAGCTTATACCCACGCTATACTTTTCCATACCCAAGTAGCTATAAGTTGTGAAATTGTGGAGACAAATCGTGGCTACAGTTCAAAGTATTCGTAAAACGTCTCCTTGTTCTTTGCTTTTGTAGGGTAGCTCCTTTCTCCGAATGGAGACTATCATCTTGCCCTGATTATTCCCAGTATTTCTTGGGTGTCGAATACCAGGGTCCTCCATCAGCATCATTCTCAATTGGGGTGCTCAGCTTTTCTATAGAGCTGAGAGTCCTGGAGGCATCAGTGAGTAGGCAAGGAAGCCAGATATTTTATTACCTCTGAGAACTGCCCCCGCTTTTTGTTCTCCTTCTGTGATTTCCTGCACACACCCTACCCCCAGCCTTGCTTACCTGGGCAGGCCCTGGGTGCTGAGCAGAGATGAAGACAGGTGGAAGTCCCTGGCAGGCACTGCAGGGAACACACATTTTAGCATGCTGGTAGCATCTTAGGGATGTATGTGAATCTATTAGGTGGCATTGGGGGCTTTGGCAGAGTTAGAGGCTGTTGGCCCTGGAAGGGCTCTGAATTCCTCATCAGCCTGGGGCACACAGAGGGTCAGTGTGGAAGGGGAAGGTGGATGTAGGATCTTGGATTTGTCCCAGGTGTCTTGTGTTGCATGCAGGGTAGAGGCTGGAGGGGAAAGGTAGTTCCTAAATAGAGGGCATTGATGGGCATGGATGGGGAGGGGCAGCGTTGATCAGGCACACTGCTTCCTTCATGGTCACGCCAGGCCCAATTTAGGGGCTTTGGGTGGTCCCTGACTGGTGGCCCATGCTGGGCTACGTGTGCACTTTTTCCTCTTCTTGACAACTTCCCTTAGAAGTAAGTGGCTTTCTCCTCATGGTCACGCCAGGCCCAATTTAGGGGCTTTGGGTGGTCCCTGACTGGTGGCCCATGCCGGGCTACGTGTGCACTTTTTCCTCTTCTTGACAACTTCCCTTAGAAGTAAGTGGCTTTCTCCCCTCTGCTACCCCTGTGTCTAGGGAAGGGGGACCTATCTGTGGTTTTCTTTTCCCTGGTCATTTTTTTTAGTGGAAGATGGATGGTGGGGCCCACTCCACTCTTCTAGAAGGCCCTGGCAGGTATTTTCTCTCTCACCATGTCAGTGTGCCAGCAAATGTTTGTTGAGCACTTAGTGCCAGGCACTGTGTTGGGTGCTGTAGCTGGCACAGCAGAAATATGAGTAGGATCTGTGCCCTCAAGAAACATAATCCTACATGAGGAGATGGGGAAGGATGGGGGGAGAAGGGAAGTGGGCAGGGCCAGGTCAGTGGGTCTGAACTACTAGATGTGCTGAGGGGTGTGTATGTAATAGGATCATCTCCAGGAGCTGCACAGCGCTAACCTGGAGCCAGGCCTTGGGGGATGGGTCAGAGAAGGAAAGTCAAGGTGCCAAGAAAGCTCAGGTGGGTGGGCAGGAATGGGAGGAGTGAAAAAGTTGGAGACAATAGACAGCATCCACTCCTGCTCCTAGTCCTTGGACTAGGAGTTGGCCTGGATGTTGGTTTGAGTTTGGTAGGTTTGGACAGGTATAGGTGGAGGGAGACCTGTCAAGCTGCAGTAGAACGGTTCTAAGGACCGAGTCCCTCTGCCCAGCCAGTAACCGGCAGGCTGACCTTGGATGAGTTACCTCCCTGTCAGTCTCCCCACTGGTCAGTGCAGGTGGTTCTAGGAACATCTCCACATCTGATTCTGGACTGAGCATTGGGACTTGACTCCCCCCCCCGCAGGAGGTGCTATTGCAGGGGCTGCTTCTTTGCTAGCTGCTAGCCTATGGGACCCCATTCAGCCACCTTGGGGGCAGCTGGGAGGACTGATGGTCTGGGAGGAGTTTCCAATATGTGCTAGGTTGACCCTCTTGCCTCTGGGACTGAGAACTGGAGGAGCCCTTTGCTGCTGCCTGCCCCGCCCCTGCCGTCTGGCCGCCAGCCTGGCTCCCGTAGCTGGGCGGGCACATAGCTGGGGCTCAGCCGTGCGCGTCCTGATAAGGAGACTGCTCCTTCCCGGGCTCTGGGGGAGAGTGGTGGGGCAGACAGACACACACACACAGTATAGGCACACAGCTAGAGAGCAAAGTACAATGGAACACCTAGCACTGAGGGACTGAAGGACACCCACCTGGTACCAGTCACTCTGTGTCCCCAGTGACAGGGGGTCCCTTTTTGGGCAGTGTAGACCTCTGCTGTTCAGAGCCAGTCCTGCTCCATCCATCAACTTGCTTTGGGCCCTTAGGGTAAGTTTTCCCTCCCTGGACCTCTTAGCCCATCTGTAAAGTAGGGGGCTAGAGAGAATCCTTGAGTTCTGACAGGCAGATTCCTGGCTAAACAGGCCTTCCTCTTCTCCACTCCCTCTCCCCCATGCGTGTCTCAGAAATTGGGGTCCTCAGCAGAGGCC